CTCTCTCTCTCTCTCTCACACACACACTCACACAGTCTGGTTCACTATCCTTGTAGGCGTAATGGTTTTTGTACTGTACAAAAACTGTATTTTCTATCGCTCTACACCAACCCTACCCCTAAACCTACCCCTCACAGGAAACTTTCTGCATTTTTACAATCTCAAAAAAACTCATTCTGTATGATTTATAAGCTTCTATACCCGTGGGGACCTCAATTTAGGGACCCACGGTGACACAAGTCCCCACGAGTCTGTGTGTATTCAGGTTTAAGTCCCCACCAGTGTAGAAAAACCTGTACACACACACACACAATCAGCAGCGTCGCGGCTCTTAAAGGAGCACCGCCTTTGAGACCCCCTCACTGTCACCAGGCTAATGGAAACATATAGCGCGCCCGTCACGCGTTGCCCCTTTAAGAGACGCGTTTTCCCATGGGCTCCGTGACGTCAGCGCAGCGCAGGACTCACTCCAGCAGCGGCGTGTCCTCCTCAACAAACGCGAGCAATGCGCGCACGGGCGAGCCGAACGCCAGCGAAACACGCTCCGCAGACCGGCGCCCGCCGCGGATTACACCGGGGAACTCTCCGAGTCAACGGCGAAGAAGTGAAGGCTGACGCGTCGAGTCCGCAGCGCGCTCTGATTTCGCGTACTAGACGCGCAGGAGTATGCGTGATCCCAGCTGATCGAGACTCGAACCCGCAGCGTTTAACCCCGCGGACCACTGCTCGACTCCACACCCGCGCTCGCTCCAGAAACAGCTCAGATTAGCTCATTAGTCCGGCTCACCAGCTGATTAACGATGGCGGGGAAGCTGGCAGCGCAGGGCGCGGGAATCCTGCTGGTCACCGCCAACGTCGGATCGCTGTTTGAAGATGTGAGTCCAGCTTTATTACTAATAACACACGCTTTCTTCCACACTAGTGTGAGTGCTGCTGCAGTAACCTGAGGTAAAGTGCTGGGTAATGATGCTAGCTGATGAATTAACCTGAATGGATTCGAACCCACGACCTTTCAGTGTCCCCTCAGAGACCGAGCTCGGCGGCTCTAACGGTCTCCGGGTGATTGACGGTTTGTTTCGCGGGTAAAGTGTTCTGGTTACTGGATACTCATCTGTTAACTTAACTGTCAAAACTGTCAAAAATGGTAAATGTGTCTGACATTATTTTTGTTTGTAAAAATAAATAAATATATACACACACACACTCTCTCTCACACACACACACACTCACACTCTCTCACACACACACACACACTCACACTCTCTCACACACACACACACACTCACACTCTCTCACACACACACACACTCACACGCGCACACAAACGCACTCACACGCACACACTCACACGCACACACACTCACACTCGCACGCACACACTCGCACGCACACACACGCACACACACACTCACACGCACGCACACACGCGCACACACTCACACACGCACACGCATATGCACACACTCACACTCACACTCGCACGCACACACTCGCACGCACACACACGCACACACACACTCACACGCACGCACACACGCGCACACACTCACACACGCACACGCATATGCACACACTCACACTCACACTCGCACGCACACACTCGCACGCACACACACGCACACACACACTCACACGCACGCACACACGCGCACACACTCACACACGCACACGCATATGCACACACTCACACTCACACTCGCACGCACACACTCGCACGCACACACACGCACACACACACTCACACGCACGCACACACGCGCACACACTCACACACGCACACGCATATGCACACACTCACACTCACACTCGCACGCACACACTCGCACGCACACACACGCACACGCTCACACTCACACACGCACACACGCACACACACATGCACACTCACACTCGCACGCACACACTCGCACGCACACACTCGCACACACACACTCACACACACACGCACACACGCGCACACACTCACACACGCACACGCATATGCACACACGCACACACACACACACACACACACTCACACGCACACTCACACACGCACACACACACTCTCACACAAACGCACTCACACACACACACACACACACACACACGCGCGCACACACACACACACACATATATATAGTATACATATGCATGTATGTATGTGTATATATAAATACATCATTATTTTAAATTATTTAAAATAATTTATAATTTAATAATTTAAATTATTATTATTAATATATTATTTATTTAATTATTTAATAACAATTAGAAACGACAATCAAAATAATATTTAAATAATTTAAATAATATATTTATTATTATTATTATTATTACACACTAAAAAAATCTGTAAAAATAAGGCATGTTAGATTAATATGAAGGTATTTTCTGTATTTATAAATTTTTTTAATACAGGTGTTTTAATACCTGTATTTAGAATTTTGCACTGTATGGCGTTGTGTTTTAGTGTCTGTAAAAATAATAATATGGCACAAAATGAGTCTTTCTTTCTTTCTTTCTAACAGTGTTGATATATTATTGGTAACACTTTACAATACGGTTCCATTAGTTAATGTTACTTAATAACTAACATGAACAAATACAGTGGTTACAAACTAACAAGCACACTTTTGATTTTAATAATGCATTAGTAAATGTTGAAATTAACCTGAACTGAGATTAATAAATGCTGTAGAGGTATTGTTCATGGTAACTAAAGTAGTAACTAACGAACCCTACTGTAAAGTGTTACAGATGTTCTGTTGGCTTTGTGAGTGCGACACGCTTTCAGACTGCTTATCCAGTGATCCCAAATGAAAGTTTCATGGAAGCGAGTGGGTCAAAGTGTGCGAGAGCCATGTTTAATGCTTGTGTTAGACAACGTTTTTGAGCTGAATAACTCCTTGTGCACTAACATATATATATATATACATGTATATCTATCAGGCAGTGAAAGGATGCTCTCATGCGCCTGATCCGTGCTTCTCAAACTATGAAAAAGCTGTAAAACTAGAGCTCATAATCACTCCTGACTCTGGCTTAATCAAAATCTCACCTGTTATCGCGCTCTATGGAAATGATTACGCAAACTTGTGGTAGACCAGGGCGAGTTGAGGTTTAAGCAAATTAGTTCCTCTGAATAAACAATAGTAAAGTACGAACTATCTCAGCCATTAAAAATGCTTGCTTGTGTGTAAACGTGCCAGTACTTGACAGTCAGGTCTCGGGCTGTAATTCTGTGTAGTTTATACACTGTGAGACGTTTAGGCCAGATCTGTTTATTTGATTGCAAACTGTTTTCTTACGCATGTGAAGAGGAACTGCCCCGTACTATCTTTAGAGTTATAAATAGTTGGCCTGTCGTGACCGCTGAACTGCTGTCTTATGAATATCGCTCTTTATCCATTACTTGTTTTACACGAGAGCGCGGCCAAAACCAGCACGCCGCTTATAGAGTCCCGCATGCACAAGTACACCTAAATATTTAACATGTTCAGACGTCTCGTCTCGTCCCTCAATGGGCCTTTTGTGCCGCACAAGCCACAAATGCAAGGATTTGTCCAAATTACGTGAATGAAGTAAATGAGGCCTTTGTTAGCAATCACAAGATGAGGTGTTTAGGGCTGGACGGCTTCCACGGGTTTTGGCGAGTGCTGTTATAAAGCGGTCTACTGTAGTCGTTTTGCCCTGATGAGATGCTCCTGAAGTGCTTCTGGGAAGATAGGAGACATAAAAAGCTGTAATGGAGCTATAGAATGGCATATGCTCTTCAGGATACATAAATGACTTTCCTTTATGGAAAGCAGCTGGTCTGGATGGCGTCCAGGTGGATCGACCGGACCGCACAGGTGCTGAGATTTCACCCGTAAATGTGGTTTAATGTCTGATTTAATAAGGCAAATAGGGCCAGGATAGTGTGAGGTCATTGAGATCAGAGCATCATATGCTGAAAGGATGCGGCTGTAATGGGCGAATCTCACGAAAATGCCACATTAAAATGATGTAGATGAGTTTGTTTCTTCATCAGGTTTGGAGAAATGTAGCATTGCATCAGTGTCTCTGCAGTGAATGGGTGCCGTCAGAATGAGAGCTGATAAAAACATCACAGTAATCCACAGCACTCCAGTCCATCAGTTAACATCTGGAGAAGACAAAATCTGAAACTAATCCAGCATTAAGACATTTATAACTCAAATACCATAGAGTGCATAATCTATAATAACTCTTCCTCCAGTGAAAAAGTGTTCTGGTGTGAATCAGGAGAGAAATCTGCACAGATCAAGCAGCGTTTAAACAGCTCTAAACACATATGTGGCTGGATTTTGACGTGAGAGACAACAGCTGATGCACTTTTTCACTGGAGGAAGGCGTGTATGAACGGGTCTTATCTGGTGATGGTAATTGTTGACACTGACTCGCTGCTGTATTTGTGCTCAGCTGTTATAATAACAGAACAGATGCAGTAGTGCTGATATCAATTGGAAATGTTATCAAATGATAACATCAGATGAGAAGAGATGGGCCTAATCGCTCTGCTCCAGATCCTAGTGAGCTGTCTACATGGTAGGGCTGTGTGACATTGGAAAAAAACTGACATTGCGATATTTTGTGATCATATATTGTGGTATAAAATATACAGGAATTTTTACCAGATGACCTGGATCGCTATATTTGGAAATAATAAAGCATTTTAGAGTTAGTGGAGTGATTTCGTTGGCAATTGCATTTAGCTGAAAATGTATTTTTTACTCTCAAGTGTCATTTTTCTTTTTAGTCCTGAACAATTTGGGAAGCATAACAGCTTTCGCAATTTCATCACTAAATCGCACTAAACCAGACTATTTATTTGTGATTTTGATTAACTGTGCAGCCCTACATTTGGGTGTTCATACTTGGGTTTACTTTTTTACAAGAATCAACTTTCAGTAATGATTTCAGAGTTAAAAAAAGTCTTTCCACTAGAGTTTTAATAGGCCATGTTCACATTGATTTTGACCAATTAAATATATCTATAAAAAAATTAATAATTTAAATGACTTTGTGATTATTCTGAAATAAAAATATTAAACCAAACAAAACAAAAAAAATATTGTAAATGAAATAAAATTGTTTCAAATGTTAAACCACCAAGCTTTAATTTGGCTGGTTGTTGGCAAATGGAAATATGATAATGTTCATTCATTTGAATAATTTTTTTACTATGCTTTTAATTATTAAATGAACTAAAAGTGCATTTATAATCAACATTTCTCTTGCTTTGTCCACCATCTTTTCATATTTGTTCATCATGCTTGCTGCAGTGCATTCTGGGATTGTCTTTTCTGCGTAGGATGCATGTGATGGTGAAGTCTTGCCAGATGTTGCTGGAACAGTAAGAGCCTGGAGAAACGTATAATTTCACGACAGAGAGCTCTATTGTAATTCTGTAATGCAGTCGCAGCTAACAGGAAACGTTTCCAGAACGTTCTGGAAAGGTTGTTTCAAAGTTATGAACAAACGTTCGCTTAGTAACATTAATAGAACATTTGTTCAACATTATCTGGACTTTAATAATGTTCTCAAAACGTTAGCATCGTTCATGGAATGTTTTTCCCAAACGTTTTAGTTGGACGTTCATCTAACGTTGTTTAAATGTTCGGAGAACATTCAAAAGTAACGGTCCCATGTTTGCAAAATGATAAAATGGAATGTTTGCATGACCAAGAAACGTTTTCGAAACACTTAGCTAAATGTTTAAAATGTTCAGAGAATGTTTCAATAGTAACGTTTTCATAACTTAACGAGAACGTTCTTAGAACATCTTTTTGCCGTTTGCTCTGTATTTGAGCGGGTCTCGTTAGCAGAGATCTGGGCCGGTTCTTCGGTTCTCTTTACCTCTCGTTTCTCTCAA